CCGGCCCGGGGGTCCCCCCCCCTTTTCAAGGGAGGGGGGGGCCCCCCGGGTTTTAAAACCCCCGGGCCTGGGGAAGGGTTGGCGCGCAATGGGCCTCCGGGGGGGCCCGCGGCCGCCTCCCGGGTTCGGGAGGGGCGCCGGCGGGCCCCAGGGCTGGTGGGGGCCTTCCCCCTCCGCCCCGGGCGGCGCGGCCCGGCCCCGCCCCGGGCCCTCCGCGACCGCCGGGACCAATGAGGTGAGAGGGAGGCGCGGGCGGCCGCACGGGCGGAGAGGGGGTCGCTCCGGACCCCGAAGTTCCGCGGCGGAGGGCTGCAACCCCGGGATGCTAGCGCGGCGCGGGGAGGCAGCGGCCACACCCCGGGGTCCAATGCGCAGCTTTGGGGAACACGGTCGCCAGTTACTCCGGAGGGGAGGTCCCCGGGGTGGGTGCCCAGCCAGCTGTTGCCCCTCGCGGAGTTTGTGCTCGCGGATGCCCGGGCCGCAGCGGGCCTGGCGGGGCCGGGAGCCCAGGAAGTTTCGCAGCTCTCAGCAGCGGCATAGCCCGCAGAGGCCACGGGCAGTTCGCACGCACCGTGCGCTCTCCCGGCTCCTCCCGCGGCGCTGTCCTCTGCCGCCCTCGACCTTTTGCACTCGTGACTGTCTGGCCCGGGAGCCTGGCGGGCTGCAGCAGGTGCCGGGGGAAAAGTTGACTGGACGACCTTCCTCTGGGATGTGCCCTCTTCCCCTTCCCCTGGGAATGGTTGAACACAAAAGAAACCTGACGTTTGTCTCTCCTTTCCTTTCGGGCTTAGATGTCTGATTTCCTGCAGCCTCCTCTTACCCAGGACTGCCCAAGTCTTGGCGGCGGAGGGTGGCTTACCGCCCAGCCGTTCCTTCATGGGCTTTGCTGCCTCCTTCACCAACAAGAGAAAGGCTTACTCCGAGCGTAGGATCATGGGGTGAGCATCCGCCCCTGTCCAGCATCCCTCCACATTCCCTTCCCCTCCAAACAAGTAACTGTGTCCAGGTTAGAATGTAAGGGTAGCAAGATTCATCCCCGCCCATCGCTGATCCTTTATCCTCTCCTGCAGCCTTCCAACCTTAACTCCCCCCTTCTTGATTGCCCTGCATGTACATTATGTGAAATGTGCCTAGAATTGGACAGTATCATAAGTCAACAGGGTATTATTTCTCTGCCGACCTGAGTTTATGTATTCTGAGCACAATATAAAATAGCTAACACTTTCTGAGCACTTGCTACTGCTAGCAGTTAGGATGCTTAGGTATTTTACAGATTTTTCTCATTTGATCCTTTCAACAAACCTATGAATTCGGTACTGTTATTACCTATGATTTGCAGGTGAGAAAATTGAGGCACAGATCATGTACCTAGGGCTACATTAAGTTGTAGAGCTGGGATTTGAGTCCTTGTATGATTGACAACCTCTGTTCTTCCAAGATGATCCCTCTTAAGATAAAAATAGGTATTAAAAGCATTAACTAAACTGTAAAACGTAAGGTAACATTAACATCATGAAAATTTGTACACTTGCTCTTGGGAAGTCATTCATTCAGGCTTATTTGGGATCTCTAGTTCCTGAACGTGCATGGTTAGTGGGCAAAGGTACTGAGTACCTCGGGCAAGGAGAAGCCTGGACCAGCTGGCAGTTCCTTGGCCTCTCCGATTCCTTTCCCCAGGTACTCCATGCAGGAGATGTTCGAGGTGGTTTCCAATGTCCAGGAGTACTGCGAGTTTGTGCCATGGTGTAAGAAGTCTCTGGTGGTATCCAGCCGTAAAGGTCACCTGAAGGCCCAGTTGGAGGTCGGCTTTCCACCTGTCATGGAACGTTATACCTCTGCTGTTTCCACCGTCAAACCTCACATGGTCAAGGTGAGGTCTGTCTGAGACAGATTGATCAGGAAGTTTTTTGTGTTCTCTAGCATTTTTACATTCAAGGGCTATTTTGGCCTTTCTTGTAATAATCTTATCTCCATGTCTCAAATACTTCCCTAATAAAATATTAGAAGGAAAATGACTTTCAATTCCTTCTTGTAGTCTCCTATACTTATTATAGATTTTATTCCATTGTATGATGTTTAACTACCTGACTGCCCTATTCTAGGCGGTTTGCACTGATGGCAAGCTCTTCAATCACTTAGAGACCATTTGGCGGTTCAGTCCTGGTATTCCTGCCTACCCCCGAACTTGCACTGTGGACTTTTCGGTGAGTCAGGAGCCTGTATGACACAGGGATGCAACTGGGTATGGGGCCAGAGCTGAGGTACAGTGGCAGTTATTTTTTAAAAATTTTAATTGATTTTTTGGAGACACCGATTTGTTGTTCCACTTATGTATGCATTGATTGCTTATATGTGCCTTGACCAGATGGAGATTGAACCCGTAACCTTGTCATATTGGGACAATGCTCTAACCAATTGAGCTACCTGGCCAGGGCTACGTGACAGTTATTATTTTTTTAAAAATATATTTTTATTGATTTCAGAGAGAAAGGAAGTGGGAGAGAGAGAGACATCAGTGATGAGAGAGAATCATTGATTGGCCACCTCCTGCATGCCCCACGGGATGGAGCCTGAATCCAGACATGTGCCCTGAACGGGAATTGAACTGTGACCTACTGGTTCATAAGTTGATGCTCAACCACTGAGCCACGCCGGCGGGGCATGACAGTTATTCTTTATGCATAGCTAGCACTTGGGACTTCCCAAGTCAATGACACTTTCCACAGATCTGACCTTTTGTCAAACTTGGAACATTGCGCTCAGTCCTAAGTTAGGGCTTTTGAGGGGCTCTAAGGAACTGGCGGGGGAGGGGAAGAAAAGGCGCTGAATAAGTGTTCTTGCATTTGGCCAGGGACTATCCAACATGATCTTGAAGTTTCTGACTGTCTCTTACCCATTCCCAGATTTCCTTTGAATTTCGTTCTCTGCTGCACTCCCAGCTGGCCTCCATGTTTTTTGATGAGGTTGTCAAAAAGAATGTTGCTGCCTTCGAGCGCCGGGCAGCCACCAAGTTTGGTCCAGAAACAGCCATACCCCGTGAACTGATGTTCCATGAGGTGCACCACAGTTGAGGCAAAAGACTGTTCCTTAGCTTCTCCTTTACTCTCCCTCTCCACCCAATTTTTATTTATTTCAATGGACTCCTGCCCCAATCTGAGATAGAGTCTGTGTTTATAATACTGTTTTCCCTCAGTTCTCCAGAAAAGGGGCTCTAAGCTAGCTGGAAATGCTGGGGGAAGAAAAGGCAGGGGGTGTGGAAGGGACACATGCTAAGAAATGGTCAGGCTCATCTTGAGAGCCCTCTAAGCCTGATGCCTGCAGCCTTCACACTGAATTATAATTAGGACTGTGTGGTTATCCCTGAGCCCTGTCAAGGTACCTTAGTGTCTGACCAGGGAAAATAGCAACTTTTCTTAAGGATTGAATAAATTGAGCTTTTTCCTCTACACAGAGGAACTGGATGGTCAATTACTTTTGCTTGCTTGAAATGCCTCAGGGGATGCTAGAGCTCTGGCCACAGCTTAAAATCACATCACCTCACTTCTAAGATATTTCCATGCTAGTGGAGAGCCTGGGGCTTTCTTATCATCAGTGCCACGGGGTGAGAAAAAAAAAAAAAGCACTGAACAGAGTTATACTTTTGGGATGTACCGTATTCTTCCACTTGGCCTGAGTTTTTATAAAATGTCAATAAATTAATTGTGGCAATGTGAATTTGGCTTTTTAAATTATTTATTGACTTGAGAAAGACAGACATTGATTTGTTGCTCCACCCATTTATGCATTCATTGGTTGTTTCCTGTATGTGCCCTTGACCGGAGATGGAACTACAACTTTGGCATATTGGGACGACACTCTAACCAACTAAGCTACCTTGCCAGGGCTTGGCTTTTTGGTATTGTTTCTTGAGAGAATAATATAGATATAGCAGAGTAGAAGAAAGTCATGGCTTCCTTCCTAGGGGAGTGAAGGTGCAGGCCTCTTGAACATAGTGTCCTTGCTAACTATAGTAGTACATTCTACAAGCCAGGACCTAGTACCCACTCCCTTGCCTATTAATAGACTTTTTCAGAAGGTCAGTTGCAGCAGGAGTCTCAGGATAGAGTGATCTGGCCTCAGTCCTCCCATATAACTGATGCCCTCAGGAACAGTTATGGGAGGCTGCAAAGAAGAATAGGCATTCCATGAAGTACCAGAGCACTCTAGTGGCTCACACCCTGAGCTAGCTGTTCCATTCCTATTTGTCCTGGGCATAGCTTGTTCCTTTCACCTAGTGGGCTGGACCAGTGTCCTTGAATTCGTCACATCAGCAGTTGTGACGAATTCTCTGCAATCAGCTGTCTCAGCTATAGTCCTTGAGTGTTCTACCTTACAACAAAATTAGGAAGGATGGCGGCTAAAGGTCAAGGACTTCTAACCTTGAGAAAAGACAGAAATCTCCTTTGGCAATCTCATAGGGAGCCTGTCTTCAGATTAGGGTAAGGAAATGTCAAACCTACCTAAAAACAGAGAGATCTACATGATAACCTATAACCCATTTAAGTCCAGGATCCTGCCAGCCAGATTTCTTACCTCATAATAGATTCTCCCAGGACTTATATAATAGCAGGCTCAAGCATTGTTAATAAAAACATTTATTTTGCATTTTATACAGAACAACCTGAAGTCTGCATCATGACTTGACAAGTTACCCAGGTTTACAGACAGTGTGTCCATCTGAACAGCGTGGTTCTGGGGATTAGGGATCCACACACACAGGCAGGAGTTGTGAGGGAGTAAGGAGGCACCGCAGGAGTGTATTTCAGTCCTTTCTTAGAGGAAAGGCAGCAGAGCGTTCTGAGTCACCGAAAACGTGTGCAGACGGGGCTTCTAAAACCAACACTATACTGTGAGCTCTTGGGGTGGGGCAGGCAGGTAAGGACCTTGATAAATAAAGGGATACTTTCTTGTGGCAGGGGATGAGGAGGGAAGCTTACCACTCTTAATGCCCTCAGCCCTAGGACCTGATATTCAAAGGAGACCATGTCCAAACTTCAATCGTTTTCCTGCTCAGAAAAAGGTGCTAGTATCCCTGGGATCAAGACCATGAAGGTATCATGCTGGTCATTCCTATATCCCTAGTCTATGGCCCACAGCATACTAAAATAAAGGGAGAAAAAGTCAGAGGGTAATGGCTAAAAAACTTAGTTCATTTTAAGCACTGATAAAGCCAAATGACTGGGCAAGACCCTATCTCAGACTGGTTTCTACAATCGCAGAAAGGTCTCAGTCGGGAGGGACAAAGAGGAGAAGAAGGTCTGGAGCACCCTCCGCTGGAGGTGCAGCACATACAGAAAATCTCAAAGGAGGTATTCAAGTAGTGGAGAATAGAACACTCCCAGATCTTAATTTTTATGGGATAATTTTAAAAAGAAATAAACATCAGACACTGGGTACCAGTAACAACAAGTGCCATGGCTTTATGGTCACCTGGTAGCGTAAAAAAAAAAAAAATTACCCAAAGCATATCCAGCTAACCAACAGGTTTTGCCAGGAAGTGTCTGCACATGGGAGAGGGCAACAGGGCTTAGTACAGCTGATAATCCAACATGATTCCTATGGAAACAGAAGGGGCAGAGTCCTGGTGTGCTGGCCCACCGAGGACTGGGCAGAACAAGTAACTACAGATTCCCAGATTCTCACTCTAGAGATGGTGTGGGGGCCAGACCTAACCCACACCACATGCATTAGTCCTGGTCATCCTACAGCTGATGGGCAACTCACACCGGTCAGGGGAAAGGAGCTGGTCAGGGAAAGAGGGGTCACTTTTCATTTTTTAAAGTCTTAATTTATATTTTAACCTCAAACTTATTACCAGTGCTCAGATACAACTTAAGTCTTTACAAGCCCCCTGAAACAAAACAAAAGTATACTTTTTTTGAAGCTCCCTCACTTCTGGTAGTTAGTTTCCCCCGTCTCCAGTTTTACCCTGACTTAGAGTCCACAAACTTCATCAGACCATCCGTGCTCATGGACTTGGGCCTCTCTAGAGGGAAGCCTAGGGCTCGGCTCCAGATGAGCTGTGCCAGTACACCCAATGCTCGTGACACCCCGAACAGCACTGTGTAGTAATTCATCTCCGTCATGCCATAGTACTGTAAGGGAGAAGAGAAAAGTGTTTTGTTAAAGGCCCAGAGCTAGTGGCATTTACAAATCCAGGATTATAGAAACCTTAACCCAGTCAGCCTTAAACAGAAATGACACCGGGGAAAGTATAGCAATTGTGATTCCGAAAAGAGAGCATCCTTTTCTCCTGCCCACACCTCCCCAACCATAGGCAATGTGATCAAAAAGGTAAGGAAAGAGATATGAGTCCCTGCTCTGACCAGGGAATTGATTTTGTGCGTGGCAGGGAACAGCAGTGTTTGGTAAAACGAAAGGGAAAGCAGGGAAGAGAGGACTCACCTGGAGTAGTACCCCACTGTGAGCATCCACATTGGGCCAAGGATTCTTGGCCTTGCCCTGCTCTAAGAGGACATTGGGCACAATCTTGTACAGCTGAGCAACCAGCTTAAACATGGGGTCATTAGGCAGGTGTTTCAGAGCAAACTCTCGCTGACACGTATATCGTGGGTCAGTCTTTCTCAGTACTGCATGGCCATAGCCTGGGACAACCTATAAAGAGTGAGGGGGAGAAAAGCCAGTTATATTCTCTGGTGGAGATTCTTCTTTTCTAAATTCTTCAGGATAGACTAATGGGCGGGGGAGCTCCTTCTCTAAGGACCACTTCTCAAGCTTACCCGCCCTGAGTTGAGTGTGTTCCAGATGTAGTCTCGTAACTTCTCATCTGACACATCTTTGCCAACTTCCTTCTGAAGATGTGTCAGCCAGACAAGCACTTCCTATAGATAAGAGGTTTGGGGAATAAGAGTGTCAATACATATGCCAAGGAGAACGCTAAGATCAGAAACAAAAGCATGGGATGAAGAAAAACAAGGAACAGGAAAAGAATAGTTTTACCTGATTTGCCAATCCATGTAGGGGTCCTGCCAGCCCATTCATAGCTGCTGCAAAGGACAGGTAGGGGTCTGAAAGGGCACTGCCAACTAAGTGGCTGGTATGGGCACTTACATTGCCACCTTCATGGTCACTGTGGAGAAATAAGAAAGGAGAGTCAAGGCCAAGAAAAGGGAAAAAAGGGTCAGACATGGAAACACAGACCTTGTTGTTCTTATTTGTCATATACTAGCCTAGTTATGGGCGTACACCAGCCTGTAGCCAGCCAGTTATTCATAAGCTCTTGTAAAAGATGTCCCAAGCTCATTACCCGCCTCTGTGTACTGGTTGATGATGCCTGTGTGCCAAGCTCCCTGGCTCTCACTCCAGCTTTAATAGCAATGGCCAGAAGAGGGAGCTCCTGGAAAGCTAGAGAAAAACCTAATGTGAGCAGCTGGTACCTTTCTCAGCTAGAAGCACTGTCTGTTCTTCTTATGCCTCTTAACCTGCTTTACTAGATCCCTTTCATCCCTTATACCACTTTCCCATCACCGTGCTGCCTACTGCCTATTCCCAGATGAGGAGACTTTTAAGGAGCTTTTCTTTTCTTTTTCTTTCTTTTTTTTTTTTAATATTGTATTGATTTTTTACAGAGAGGAAGGGAGAGAGATAGAGAGTTAGAAACATCGATCAGCTGCCTACCGCACATCTCCCACTGGGGATGTGCTCGCAACCCAGGTACATGCCCTTGACCGGAATCGAACCCGGGACCTTTCAGTCCGCAGGCCGACGCTCCATCCACTGAGCCAAACCGGTTTCGGCAAGGAGCTTTTCTTAAACTTCCCCACCAATCCAGGCTATGGTTGCTGGGTCTAGCTCACCTGTGAATGGTGAGGTACAAGCGCATGAGCTCAGTAAACTGAGCATCAGTATAGCCTAACATGTTGGTGAAATTGTGGGACCAGTCCAGCTTAGAGTCAATGGCCCCAATACTGCTGCCCTCCCGGTACAGATTCCGGTAGATCTTTGCAGCAACACAAGGTAGCTTTGCGATCAGATCCATACAATCTTCGTAAATCAACTGAAGGGGAGAAGAGGAAAATGAAGGAAAAAAAAATTATCAACAAAGAATTAGGCAGGAATGCTATTTGTCCTCCATATAGCCCAGGATCAGGCTATTTGGGTTGATGGTGACACGCTGAGTGATTATATACCGAGTATAACAACAATAACCATTTAACTGAGTAACTACGACCCAGGCACTGCACTAGATTATTCACTCATACTACTCTAGACACATTAAAAGAGCGGTTGCCAACTGGTGGTTCGCGAGGTCTGAAAGGTTGGCGACCGCTACATTAAAACATTATTCCCAATTTTTACAATTCTACCGCGTACACAATGACCTCCATTTTACAGATGAGGGAACTGAAGCTCAGAGCATTCAGTGAAATGCCAGTCATATTGTGAACCCATATATATTTAATCATGTTCTTTCCCTCTATGACTTTGCCCTCAATGAATGTGCTAAGAAACTAGATTTTATTTTTTTAAATATACTAGAGGCCCATTGCACGAAGAGATCCGTGCAATAGGCCTTCCCTTCCCCTGGCTGACAGCACTGGTTTTCCTCCGGCACCCGGGACCCAGGCCTTCGCTCAGGATGGAGCCTTCGGTCTTCGCTCCGCCGCTTTGCCCCTACGCATGCAAATTAACCGCCATCTTTGTCGGATTAATTT